TTACTGCAAAAATTGTTGCTGAATAATGTCATGGTAGAGAAAAAACTTCACCCACTGCATCTCTCCAGAGAGCAAGAAATATCTCAATCCACAGTCTGGGCTCTGGTTCACTGGACTGATTGAGACAGGGTGGCATTGGTGCACGAGAGACGGAGACACAGTAGTAGACATGTAAACTAAGGAGAAGAGAGCAGTAGGAAATCAGGTGGAGAGAAAGAGCAAGTGATGGAGAAGCCGAGAAGATGAACTTTGAAACTTTTCTTGGCAGTTGCAGAGCTGTTAGTCTGCTTCTGTCTTTGATGATCCGGTGATACAGTGACATTTCCAGTTAGGATTTCCACCAGGACAAGAAGTTTGAGAGACTGTCCTGTCAGCTTACAATCATAGGTGCAGCCTCTATGGCAGCTACTCACAGAGACACTGAACCCCTTCTCAGGTCATAGAGAGACCTGCCAGAAAATGGCCTTCCAATACTGGTAACCATTTCACAACTACACAGCAAAATAAGACATCGAAGTCATTGTTTTGTGTTGTGGCTGGTAGACTAAACAATTTCAGCAGCCAGAATTAGTCAGAGAGGCTGGTGATGGTTTCCCACTCCTGTCAATACAGTGAGAAAAGTGGCAGTATGCAAAAGAAGCTGTGCAGTACTGAGAGAAAATCATTATAATTCAGTCCGATTTTCCCTTCGGAGTAAGCATAAGTGTTTGGCTACTTCTGGAAGTAGTGCTTTTATCATAACAGGCATACCCAAGAAGAGTTTCACAGCTAAAACACTGAGCGTGGAACCAAAACTGGGACAGACGTGCAACCAAAATCAAAATGAATCCCCGGTGTATACCGTAACAAAGAAGCCCCAAATTACAAGGAGAGTCACTGAGGGCTGTCTTCACACAACAGGGAATAGGTTTCTGGATTTTTGCACTTACCCAAGCTGTCACTGGTTTGCATTGTCAGCAAACCAGATGAAAACCAAATGTCAGCAGCTAGCCACAAGCTGACTGATGTGTTGGTGTGGAAACATCCCCCCGTCCTGTGAAGACAAGAGCCTGCTTGACAAAACACAGCTTATTATTCCAAACTGAGGTGTCGACCATCTGTTACATGCAAAACCTGAAAAATGACAACAACAAAAAAAAAATCAGCAGTTTGTTAAAAAAGATTATGACTGTTTTCAAGGAGCAGTAGCTAGTGTGAGGCCTTGTTGATGGTGAGTGATGCACTTAGGGTAATTAATTTGACCCAAAGCTGCCTTTTGAAAATAAATACCGAGTGCAAAACTGAAAACCAATGGATTTATCTTTTTATTCGGTTGAAAAGCACTTGAGTATATTCATGGAGATGTTAAAGCAACATCCATTAATATTTGATGGTCAGATATATCACCCTTAGAGTCCAGAGAGTTTAAAGAACTGTTTGGGTTCCTGCCACACCTATGCTCACAGTAAATTAGTAGGTGAAGGTTTATGTAATGAGCTTATCTTTCCCACGCATTAAAGTATGAGACTATTCTATCTGTCCAATTCTATAGCAGTGCTTTGCTTTATTATCATCTGTCTTGAAGCATCTTACAATACAGCAGACATTTTGACTTGTCATAGTAGCAACAGCACAGGTGCTGCTAATAGCATCATCAATGACTCTGTTCTATTCAAATGTCCCAATTAAACATGATGGTGTGACATTGAGCATGCACCATACCAGGACCTGGGGAGAAGGCTGGGCAGCCAGCGTCAGCATGGGGCAGCAGGAGCTGTGTCAGCTGTGTTTAATGTACTGTAGACCTTTATGACTCTGACCCGGGTAATGGGGACTCATCACGGATTATTCCTTGAATCTGACTTGACTCGAGACTCGACTCGGTTTAGTTAGCCGATTACAACACTTGTGTCCTGTTAGTGCCGACAGTGTAGGTTTTCACCCAGTGTGTCATTGCCAACTCCTGCTCTTAGTCCGGGTCCTGACAAAGTCACAGTGTATGTTATATACAAGCTTGGGGAAGACGTGCTAATATGCCATGGGCTGCAACAATTCACGCACAAAAATAAATTAATAAATAAAGCTACATAGTTGCTAAGTGCACTTCTTTCCTTGGAATGACTTTCTTGGAATACAGTATGTAGTTTATCCACAGAGTAGACAAATGTGTGTTTCCCCCAGTACACATGGAGAGACCAGCTGCCTCTATTCACCTGCTGCCATCAAGCAGCTGGAAAAGAGTAATGGCTGTGAGATTCATGCTGTTCCTCAGCAGTCTGTGCAGGTTTCCCAACCTATGCTCTGTTACATGGATCTGATGGAGATCCATAGCCAAGCTGGAAGCACTTCAGCTCCGAGCTCAACCCAGGTTGCTCCAATGATGAACAAGAGTAGAGAGACAGGTTTTACTCTTGGTGCTAAATTGCTAGCAGATCCTGTCTCATCTCACAGACTTGTTTTAATAGCATTTTGGAAGAACTAAAATACCTCCCAGCTCAAGATTAAGTGCTTTTCATAAATCTGACCTATTAATTAAAAATGTAGTAGCAGCTTTTTATGTCTGATTCAACAAATAAAAGCCACCATGGTGATGGAGGGAGCCGCACTCAGCTAAACTAATCATGAAGAATTACCCTCCACATCTGTAGCTGCAGGTATAACCTCAAAATGCCCAAATGGGAGACACCTGAGTAAATATTTCTGACCAAAATTGGAGGCATTTATCCTCCAATTTGGGCCACAGATCCCCCCCCTAGCAGGCTGGTCTAACGAACAGATTCTCAAAACGTTTTTATGTCACGTTTTATTGTTCAGGAAAAACTGACTTGGCCCCTTGAGTGTAAGTGGGTCACCTGAAAGTTTAAGAGGCAAGGGGAAACCCTGAGATGGATCTGAGTGTGCAGCCCTGAAGTCAGTCAGACATAGCTGGAGGAAGTCAATGATGTACTTAACTACTCTCCTCAGAGGTAGGAAGACGAGGCAGAACTAGACAGATGGGAAGATGTGGAACGCGAGGGAGGCTGAGGAAGTCAATAATGTACTTACTCTACAGATTCCCTGTGTCCCTGTTATTGTAAGGCAGGAAACACTGGTGGAAGGGGTAGGAAAAGAGGAGAGAGGGAGAGAGTTTGATGCCAGGACCTGGGAATGGAAATGGTCTGAGGCAGCGAAGAAGCACGCTGCTTTTCTGTCGGTGTAGTTAGGTGTGTGCAGGGCAGGGTACAGGGAGAGCCACGTATGAGAAGGTATAGGATGGTTTTACAGCCACATAAATCCTTGCTCCTCACACTAACATTTGTGACCTTCCTTCTCGTCTAGCAGTGTTCCTACACCTCTGTTTGACTCCCTCATTCAGACTCTCTTAACACATGCCCTCCTTTTTTTTTTATTTTTTTTTTTTTAGTTGTGCTCTACTGACGATTGAACTACCAGGGCAGGACAGTAAACGTCTCTTCAAACTGTGTTGTTTTGCCTCTGGGTTTTCCATACAAGATTTATCATAATGTAGCCTTGTATGAAGCGTTTTTGAGGGAAGTGTTTTATCTGAAAGTGTTTAATATACGTTGGCAGCAAAATGAGATAAGTGACAAGTGAACGGACAGATAATATCATTCACTGTGCAACTAGAATATCTTCAGTGGACCTCAGCTCACTAGACTGGCCACGTCTGTGGATCTCTCCTCATGTTATGTTACGATGGTGACGAGGGGCTGGAAGTGGTCAGTGGAAATCTGGTGACTGTAGAGGTCACCGCATATGTGAATCCTCAGACCACACGGCGACTAAGGATGGGAATTATTGATATTGATTCTATTCTTTATTGAGTTCCATGTTATTTCCTGATCAATTTTCTGTGTGGAAAAAGGTAGGTATACACAGGTTTTCAGCGTCAACATGACTGTTTTACTATCTCTAACACGGTGTAGAATGCCTGCTTAATATCATACAGAGCTGCTTTTCTTAAGGTTATAACTAAAAAAAACAAAAAACTGATTGATAAAATAAACTCTGAAGCAGTTGAGTAGATACTTTACTAACAGGGTGTGTTTTAATTAATTGCTCAGTTGCTGGTTTTCATATTGTCTCCTGTAAAGTTTTGTTGTAAACAAACATACAGTGTTAGTCATCAAAACAGGTTGAGCTCTAATAGTTGTATTTCCTTCATCATTACACATTAAAGCTGGTTTGAAAAATAACTTTGGATCCTTTGCGCGCGTGTGTGTGTGTGTACGTGCTAACAGTCTTGCCTTTTTGCTTATAAATACGTGCTTGTTGTGCATGTGCATAGGACACAACAGAAATGGTGCCCCCCCCCCCATATAAAAATATTGCTCCATGGAGTCTAGTGGTCAAAAACATCCTAAGGGTGCTTTTGAAGGTGAAAATATTCTTGCTGTTGTGAGTTGGGAACATTCTGTAGCCTGATCCCTGATGTGTAACTCCCTGAAAAGGCTAGAAAAGAGCATTTTTGTGCTAGAAAAGTTTCCACTCTAGTCACCTTTAGCGTGTGATTAATAGTTTCAAGCTGGATTGTGCACACATGCCTCATTTTCACAGTGTTTATGTTAGAATTGGAAAGACAAGGTGACAAATGAACAAAACGAGGATATTAAACAAATGTCCCTTTTCACCAAGGAACATAAAAAAAAAAGCTCTTGTCTGCTGCTTAGAGCATCAAACAGTGTCCTAGTTATTAGTTGTTGTATAAAAGCTGGTGTTTTCCTTTGCTATTTTAATAGTTTGAATTTTTTAAGTAAAAAGAGACCTACACTATTAAAGCAGCTTTATAAAAGAGGACATGCACAATTGCTGTGAGCGCACGTGAAGAAAGAGAACAACTGTGGCACTGTGAAGCGCTAATGTGTCACGGTGATCCAGGCGGTTTGTTTTGGCAGGCAGCCCGCTCGAGGCGCTGACAGATTGGTGCCATCAGCGCATCATTTCATTTACACTTGTGTTTTCATAGTGAACATCTTCTCACTGGTCATTTTTTTTTCTCTTTTGCCCCCCCCTCCCGACAGATGGAGAGTGAGAAGAAGAGGAGAAAATACTCCACGAGCAGCAATGACTCCGACACCACCGACAGTAAGTTGGAGAAAGAGAAATTCAGGGAAAGTGTGTGTGTGTGTGTGTGTGTGTGTGTGTGTGTAATAGAGCATGAAACCTGAAAATGTCAAAAAAGTCAGCTCCTGTGCTGCTGTTGTACAGTGAGCCGCCTGATTTTAGTCAACTCCTGCAGGGTGTTTCTCATATTCACTCCCCATATAGACTTTCCTCCTGTCTCACTGTTGTTCTCTCTCCTCATTAAAAAGATGCTAAATGGCCCTTTGTGACCCATTTTTACAAATAATCACTATTTTAATCACAACTGTGACATTTTAGCCCCCCAAAGTTGTTTAGATTTCTCTAAATCCATCTGCACAAACGGTAGAGTCCCCTCTGTTCTCTAGCAGGTGGTTTTAAAGTTATTAACATTAGCATCATCCATCCATCCGTTATCTACCCCGCTTATCCTGCCGAGGGTCGCAGGGGGCTGGAGCCAATCCCAGCTGACAGTGGGCAAGTGGCAGCATCCACCCTGGACAGGTCGCCAGGACTGACAACATTAGTGTCATGAGCATGTTCAAACCCAGCCAATCAGAATAGGGCCTAATGCTTAATCTTTACCTTGCACAATGGCTGCAGACTGGAGACTGATCATAATGTAAAAACAAATGAGTCAGAGAGCTGTACTTTGTGTTAAATAAACATGAACTTGACAGTTAGACAGCTGACTTCCTTTAAAGAGACATTTATAGTGTGCATTTGAATCAGAATCAGCTTTATTGGCCACCAGAGGAATTTGACTCTGGTACAGTGGCTCTTAGTGTGTATGTACATGTCCTGCTGTAAAGCAACGAATAGACAAGTAAACAATGTAAGGCTGAGAGAACAAAAGGAAAAAAAAAGACTGTGCAAACAAGAAAAGGGAATGTGCAATAGGAAGAAATAAAGTGCTCATAAATAAAGAACTATATATACACAGAGTTTGCAGTGAAACGGTCTTAACACACAAGTTTTTATTTATAAACTACAGCCAAGTAAATCTTTGGGAATATCACACTGCGTTATATTATTTTCTGAGCTCGGTGAGCCTAAGAGAAGCTCTCCTTGACTTTCAGATTGTATCTGGGCGTCAGTCCTGTGCGCGTTTCAGGAGTCGACTGCATAATGAGCTGCTACCTTAGTAAATCAGGTGCTTAACACACACAGATTGTGGGCGCAAATTCAATAAAGCCCACATAGTGCATTTGTGTTGTGCCATTTTCTAAGTAAATCTGGCCTTAATGTGCTTTGGAAGTAATGTTAAACAACACACAGTTAATAGGCTGGCAGATATTAAATGACAGATGCAAATACTTCCCACCCAGAGTCATGACTCAAACAGCCTACAGACGGACAGCCCTGGAGAAACACACTGCATGTTGGTGGGAACATCTGGCCAGTCTAATACATGACCGTCACCGACAGCTTCTTATGGAATACCATCTGGTAATAAACTGTCTTTGAACACAGCGGTGTCACACAAGCCCCCTTGGTTCTCAAAGCTGATCACTGTCTAGTAAATATCAAGATGTAGCCATGAAGACAGCTAGAAATTTTAATTTGATTTCACACCATTTTTCTTGGCTTGTGGCAGTTCAGCATGACTTATTCTTGGCATTTTGCGATAACCAGCAAATATATTTGTGTGGCTATTCCCCTGACACTGCCAGGTCAACATGGACAGGTCAGGCAGGTGTAACAGTTATGTGGGCACAGGTCTGCATATATGGAGTTTAACAGGTTGCTTTTCAGGCCTGACGGAGCCAACCTGTGCTGAAGGCCATACTGTATCCTTTATAATTAGCCGTTAGCTTTCCTTAGTCGGTGCTGTGTGGACTTCAGCTGCATCTATTGACTGGAGGTTATCAAGTTTCTAATTGAAGGATGCCCATGACGCTTTTTTGACGAAGCCAACCTGTACTGAAGGCCGTACTGTATCCTTTATAATTAGCTGTTAGCTTTCCTTAGTCGGTGCTGTGTGGACTTCAGCTGCATCTATTGACTGGAGGTTATCAAGTTTCTAATTGAAGGATGCCCATGACACTTTTGGTTGTCATGCACCAAGTAAAGCTTTTAATTAACACACGGCCATGACAGTAACCTTCAACTGTACCATGACCCGTTTTGTTTATGTGACTGAGTGGTGCAGCTGCGTCAAGTGGAGTGTGTAGATGTAACCTGCTTAGATGCAGACACACGAACACTCTAGTTTAGTGCAGATGCATGAATAGACTCAAAATGTCCAGCTGATGAGTACACATTGCCACTAAATATTCTTAGACTTGACACTAGGGTTGGGAATCTTTGGCAAAGGTAAGGCAAGTGTATTTATATAGCAAATTTTCACACACAAAGGCAATTCAGAGTGCTTAACACAATGCACACAGATAAAACATTAAGACGCACGCAGAGAGCAAACATTTAACTGCATGCTCACGATTCAGGTCCGATTTATGGTGTCATGATTTGATTTAGAATTTATTTTTATCTAAATATGATTCCATTCAATAAAGAAAAAGAAGGGCACTATATTTTGGCTGTTACTCTAGTTTACTGTGCGTCATACAACTGATTTCTGTCTTGTGCACACTGAACAAACTGTTAAGCTAATTGGTTCTGATAAGCATCAAAATTATAAGTATATTTATAAGTATGAGATTATTAAAATTGGCTCCACCTCCAATCTGCATATTGAGTAGTTTTACTTTTGGTTATATTTGATGTTAATACACACTGCTACACACAAACATATGAACAGACACACACGCCAGCACAGATTCGGAGCTTTTTTTGGCAGAGAATCTCCAAGTCTTTATAGCACTGGTCATCAGTCACATGTGCCCAAGGCCCAGAAGTTTCCTAAGTAGACACTGTGGAGAACGGACTTTAAAATAAAAAAGAAAATTACTATTATGCTTTTTTTTTTGTTTTTTTTTTGCTCTGTGTCATTGTGAACTAACACCTACAGTACAGGCCTGCTTAAATATTAGAGCATGTGAAAAAATGAATAAGACAAAAAGTTAAATAAGAAGGAGTTTGTCTCCTTTCTTGACCTCTGTCACTCATAGTTCAGTTACAGTATCCACAAATGATCAAGTTGCACACAGACATACCTTTGCTATGACGACCGGGATTTTCTTTGTCTATTTTTGTATTTTATGACAGTTTGATCCTGACAAACACAGCTGTAGGTGGAGATAAAGCAGGTGACGCATTTAACAGCCTGCCCGCTCCTGCAGACTGCAGTCTGTTTCTGGCAGACAATCACTTTTTATGCAACATCATAAACACAATGATTGCAATATATTTTTATTGTATTATTTTAAAAACACCCCCAAGGTCCCCCTGTATTTCACATAATGCCTAAAACCAACCAGTGATGCCAGCACAGCTTTGTGAGTGAGGTGAGGAGATCATGTAGACCGCTCACTAGTAATAAACTGACAGATGGATTTATAATATTTTCAGAAGCCAATCAGTAAGTCAGTCCTCTTCAAATTATTTCCATCTCAATTGTTTTGGGGGTTTGGAAGAAAATAGTACCAGAATGCATTCTTCTCTAGTCATATTTTCTGATTTCATTAATCTATGGCAGGCTGGATAGAAATATTTGCTGGGCTGGATGTGGCCTGCTGGTTAATGATTGGTGTTTTGATGGTAGCACTGGTGGAGAACGCTGCTGTCTGATATGTCATTCCAGAATCTCCCATAGATCTTCAGCTGCACTGAAACTGAGAGCCACTTAGAATTGATCCACATGCACTAATTTTAAATGAATCGAAGTGTTTGTTCTCAGACAGACTAAAGTTTGCCTGGCCCAGTTTACCTTAAACAGGGTTGCACAAATGTTGCGTCTCTTTGAGACCAGTGCTCAGAAGAGCTAAGTGCAGGATTGATTTGAAATCATTACCTGCTCATGGCTGTCGATTCATATGGCCTGAATTCCTGTTGCATTGTCACAGTGAGTGCTAGTCTGTGTTTACGTGTGCGTGTGTGTGTGTGTGTGTGTAACAGTGGGTATATAAAACTATGCAGCTCTGACAGATTGAGATGTTGACTCAGTGTAAGCAAAGTGTGTGTGATAGTGGGCAAAAGTGTGTATGTATGTGACTGTGAGCATGACCATATGGCAAATGCATGGATGTGTTGGTAGTTCTGTATGCAGTATATGTATATGTAGAGAGAGGGAGTCGGTTTCCGAGACGAGCCTGACAGCAGTTCTGCCCTCGGTGCTGTTGGTTGTTCAGATGTCACATGTAAAATTAGCATGGTGCCATCACTGCTATGGTGGCACAAGAAATATGTTGCGTGGGAAGCAGCGTGCACACACATACACTCACAATGCGCCATATTACACAGTATTGGCAAATTGTAGTTTTCCGTCATGCCAGTGTGATGTAATGTATTTGCCAATGTGATGCGATTTTTAATAACAGCCTTCTTCTTTTGTTGCAGCGGTTTTGTGATTTTTTTTTTTGTTTTTGTTTTTTAAATATAGAAAAAAAAACTGCATAAATATAATTACCCACGCTCATTCGCTCTCTTCTTTACAGTATGGCCTCTGTTCATGTATATGGGCACAGGCACGCACAGAAACACACAGGGCTGCTGATTGAAGCAGTGGGTGGGATATTGGCTTCAGTATCTGCTTAATTGCCATTAAGTTGTGTATTAATGAGGTTGTAAAGGACCACAGTGGACTAACAGCTTAACAAGATGCTATTTATGCTGTCATTACTTATTAAACCCCTTAATAGATCATCATCAGTCTGCTTCAATTAGAGGCCTGACTTTGAGTGGTAGTACTGTACCGGGCATTGGAGAAGTCACGGGGAAGGCTTTTGTTAGTGCGTCTCTGCAGTGTTTAAAGCAGTTCAATCAGTGTAAACTCTTGAACCCCCATCACATGCCTATTTAAGAGCTTTTGATGAGGTGCTTTTTGCTGTCTAATAAGTAGCTGGCTCCCTGTCGCTTCATGGCGACTACAGTGTTTTATTATACCGCCTTTCAGAAATGCACTGGAGCCCTGAAGTTCTCTAGACATTACCTGGGGAGCTGTATGTGAGAGCACAAATGTCCGAGTCAGTCGACCCGGACCTTTAAACAGACTTTACTCTGCCAGCTCCCTAGTACAAAGTCCATGCAAGGTCAGAGTGAGCTGGAGTGAGGATACATATATAGTCCAGAGTACAGAGCTAGGGTGTGTGTTTATCACATACAGTTTATCATGTGACTGGTGTGAAACTGGAAGAATACAAACATCCAACGGTGAAGAAAATCAGTCATTTACCACAAAGGCGCCAATGAAAATATCGAACTGGAGACACAATGAGATTCAGGAACTTCTGTCATTGAGAGCCAGCGCCAGAATTGTCAGACAAATTTAAGGAACAGCAAGATACTACATTTTTTTATGAACAAATTACAAACCATCTATGTGATTGCATCCAGGGGTAGGATATGATGCTACATGTATGAAAAGGCAACTCCGGACAGAGTCTGGGCCTCATTTACAGACACACTGCTGAGTTCATGTGTGAAAACAGCTTATGTTTGCATTGTTAACCTTCTCTGCAAAACAAATTTGTCCTGTGGGACGGCAAACATTTGTTGGAGTGAATTTGAATGCATGCTGTACAGCCTGAGTCTGATCTACAGCCCGACACCTGTTCTTCATTTTCCCCACTTTAAATCAGCACTCACACTCATGAATGCACATTCTTACCAAATCAAACACTTTACGTTTGGCTTGTTCCAAATGAGCGAAGAGGTGAAACATTGATTTTACAGCTGAGTGTAAGAGTCAAGAAAAATAAGGATGATTAGTGGAAAGGTGATTGTTTCTCTCAACACTAATCACTGGCTTATCATGTTATTTACTGTTGCAGGTCAGGTGACATCGTGGTCCAGGTCATCCAAAAATATGGGCACCAGCAGCACATGGGTCCGCCACCAGCACAAGAAACCATCAGAGGTAAGTTGCTGTGGCAGTTGGGTCAGTGACTCAGCACACAACAACGTGTCTAATCAAAGACAGCCTCTGTTTGGCCACTACATTAATGTTGGTTGAAAAGAGTTGTAGGAAAAGGGCACAGGTCTAGCAGCTAATCTGAATGCTTACTGTAAGTCAGGTGTACGGGTTGTTGCTGTTACATCTCCATCACCACAGCTAAATGAACCAGGTGCAAGGATGGCGCAGACTGACTTGTTATAATACCGGGTTAGGACATCCACCTGGTCATGATGAGTGTTCCCCAGGGTGCTCAGATCACCACTCTGAGGAAGAAACTGGCATAATCCAGTTGGAAAGCGGTGTGTGGCAATGCTTTGCCTGCCACAGGCACTCAGTCCTCCCACTCTGTCAGTGAAGTGGGTTCAAATCTGTTTAAGGAGAACTTGCTGTTTGAAGAGTTTCACTCCAAGAATCTGCCATTTGGAACAAATTGCATCTACTCTGAGAAATTAGCAGGGGGGATTTTTAAATAAAGCAGAGGAGGAAACGGCCTCGGATGGCACTTCTCACATTCTAAAGATGTTCATTGAGCCACTTTAAACAAAGATCTTATACAAAAATGAATTAATGCCATTTTTGAGGGTAATTTATTTTCACTTCTGCTGTAATGTCTTACCATCGTCAGAAAAAGTCAAACTGTCTAAAGTGTAAGCGCATGGTGTTGTGGTTTTAAACTTCTAAAAGGAGAATGAGTAAAGCAAAATGGCACGCATGCCCCTGAACCACTCTGCAGTACAAGTCATCAGCAGAGCATCTGTGATGCCTCTGCATTGGAAGCTTCCTCCCCCTCAGCTCCATGCAGTTAACCACAGGCTGTTGGAAGGTCCTGTCAGCAATCAGTCCCTCGGTAATTACTACTGTAGCTCTCTGCTTTGACCTGGGCCTCGGCTGAAGAGCCAGGGGCCACGTTCCCTTTCATAACGCTGCCTCCTCTCCTCGCTCTGTGACACACTGCTCTTTTGTAAAAGACAGTGTTTTGTTGTGATTTTTCAGCTTTTTTTTGGCAGCACTGAGTGACAGGAAAGGTCTTGGTAAGAAAAAGGGGTGGGTGATGTCTGACAAAGGTTCAGTAGAAACTTTGGAAGTCAAGAATTTTGCAAGCACATTTGGCATGATGTCAGAAATGATTAACTCATTGAATATATAAGGTTTGCTGGCATTTGTCACGGTGCTGTTGGAGAGACAGTGGCCCAACCTACCGTTTTTAGATACTTCACACTGGCTTGTTTAGTTGATAATTGTTTTGTTTGTGTCGATGTTTTACCCATCATGTTGTATTGTTTTTGCACCTCGGTCCCATGAACAAATTACGTTTGCTTCAACCTTTTTCCAGAAGCTGAGTTTGCCTCCTGTCTTTGGAGACTTCAGGGACTCCAATATTAAATGTTTTACACACACAAAAGAGTAAGGACAACTTCTCCTTGATAAATGCTGATTCAAATATCTACACATACATAAACAGAGAGATATTTGTAGGATATTGGCAATGAGGACCACGGCTAATAACAGAGGATGATAGAAATGATCATATTTATATTGTTTTAAGTCGAGACAGACTGATAATCAGTAATCAGATTGGGGGAAGGCCAACACAGTGATCAGTGACTGAACCAACTTGTATATGAGAATATAGCTGTCAGTTTATTAGGTACACAAAGATAAAACTTAATCTGATACAAAAGTACCACAGATAATCCTCCCTCAGTTTGTGATGAAACCGTTTCAGAGAGGTGTTGATTTAACTGGACTGTTAAAATGTACTACTGTTCAGAGAGATGTTTGTTATTTAACTCGGCCACAAAATATATAGCAGATGTTCCTAGGCCCATTCACTCGAGTCACAGAGATAATCTTCCGTTAATGGGAGAAATTGAGACTTGCCAAACGTTTTAAATCTGTACCGTTGTTTCACCTCTGAATCCTCATACTCTTCTAAAAATGCAGAGTTATTGTAGATGGTCCAGGAAAAATATAATTTTAATCAGTTTCTTGGCTATGTGCATTCTTCTCAAATAAACAAAGATAGCGGGAAATGAAGTCGTCACTCTGGCTTTGTGTGAAAGTGGCTCGACTTTCACAAAAAAGTCATTTTATCAGAGAAACTGCCAAGACTTAGAGAGAGCAGCAGAGGTGAAGAGGTTACAGGTCTGTTTTAGGGGAAGCCGGGTGTATCCACTGCCGGGGTGCAACCAAAAAGAGGTTATAGCAGCCGTGCAGAACAGGTCTAAACACTTGTGCCTTTAAATGTAGCCCATGGCACGTCATGTGCCTTAATTCATTTGAAGGGCAATGAACCCCTGAGTCCTCTGAACCAAGAATCTCTCTGACTTCATGTGTAGCTGGTGCTTTCACTCTGCTGGTGTGTTAATCAGGCAACTGTGTGGATTTCTCAGGCGCGACTCCTCTTTTGTCTGCATGTTGATGACATGACAAAGAAACTGTCCTTCAGCTGTAGCAGAAGAGTTGAATCCTTCAGAGAGGAGCTGGCTGCATGTCAGTGCTGCTGTCGGTGTGTGAGGTGTCCTGAGGGGGCAGCTTGCTTTATGTTTTACAGGTCAAAGATCATGACCCCAATTAAACTGCATCCTTCTTTTACTAACAGTGTGTAAGCTGGAGCAGACATGTTGTTTGAGAATTGAGTCACTTGCTGGTGGTGGCGGACAAACACAACTGAAACTGAGTGTTTTTTTTTTTGTTGTTGTTTTTTTTTAAATAGTAAAGGTCAAAAGGGGGTGATGGAGTATTTTAGGCAGTGAAGATGCTCGTCAGCGGCTCCCTACTGGGAAGAAAATTGAACAGCGGCTCACAGTGTGGAGAAGCCTATGAAATGACGCTCATGCTCGGTTAAGGGAGGTGTGGCGAATGGTGAACTCCACGGACTTGTAATGACAACGTAGCGATTTTCTAAAAATGAATCTGACTCCAGCTTCGACTTTTCTTAGAAGTGGTTGTGAGGGCTTTACTTGGCGGAAAGAGGACACGGTCAAATGCTTCCTTTTTTATAGCGCTGTTTTGATCTCATTTTAGATGAGAGCAGAGATTAAGAATTTTGAGAACTGTGTAGACAAACAGGTTGTCATTGTGACATACAGTACACACACAGGACATACTTGGTCTTGTGATTAATGGATGGAAGTAGTATTTTAGGAAGACAGGCAAGAAACCAAGAGTGAGAACTGAAATTGTTTGGAGCCTTTGACATTATGAGTAGGGGATATGCAATTTTGTTTGCACAACCACACTTAATAATAGGTCTTCAAATCTGGCCTGATGTTTGTAATTGTGACTTAATTGTCGTACATGGTGCATATTACAAGCTCAACACTAATTTCTAACATTGTTCTGTTCACAATTTTACAGCTTGGCAATTTAGCAAAACACTGCGACATACAATTAGTGCAGCAGTTAGTGAGTGTGTGAACAAACTCATATTCACAACTGGGAAGTGGAGCAGGTAGGTGTTAAGTGCCTGGTGGAGACATTTAGAAAGAAAATGCACTAAAGTACAAGCAGTATTCATTTATTTTCTTTCACTCTGGCTTTTCTCGTAGCTTTTTGGCGATCATGGGTATGGTTTGGCATCATGAGGTACTGCCTTTCCTACATAGTGTACATTCCTACATGGTGTGTTCATTTTGGTTGCTGAAATGACAAAAAAACATCCAGACTTGGTTAAGTGACTTTCCGAAGCCCAGAAGAGGTTTTTAGAGCAGAAGAAGAAGACATAAGGAGCTACTCCCAGTGCATCATGGGAGGAAGGAAGCGGCATTAGAATAGATGATGGGCGTGCAGGTGTGAATTTTTTTTTTGTAGCATCATTGTTTACTTGTGCATACATACAGTATCTAAGAGTGTGTATACGCGTGAACTTGCAAGTCAGGTGTGCATGCAGTGTGTGCCTTCGTGTCTCTGTTGAACCTTTGTTGTGTATTTGTTTCACCAGTATTGTGTGAATCATACTAGCTGGTTGTTGTGTTGAACAGAAGGATGTTTAACCTCTAGAGTCCTGAGCTTTGGAAACCCAAGCTGTGCGGTCCTCATATGAGGACGCAGGGACTCTAGAGGTTAATATGCCCTGCTATATGATTTTAACAGACACCTGTCAGCAAATTGTCCTGGACTAGTGTTTAATTTTTGTTTCTTATGTAGCAAAACTCTTCAGTCTGATCCTTCTTTATAGCTGTGCCTTGATTGCCAAGAGAGGAAGTTTCTTTGTGCTCGTCATGTTTTCTTAAAGAAATTGTAGCACTTTGTGCAGTAAAAGAAGATGAAGAAGAAATACTAAAAACAGCTGATTTCACAAAATCACAACAGATGAAAATGATTGTCCAAGACTGTCACACTGGATAATGCCAGTAGATATCAGTAATCATGAGCAATCTGTAGAAGGTGCAGGAGTGTTTACAGAACATAACCCTCAGCACAGTCACGGGGGAGTGTCTGGAAAGTGCTGGTATTCAAAACAGCAGCCAGCTGATGGAGGCCAGCTAATCAAATTAAGGCTTTGGAAAATTTCCTCTGGCTATTGACAAGCTCTGTAGCTATTCTCTCATGATTTTAACAGCTGACGGTCATTATTCCAAGGCAGCTGTATGTTCATCCAGATGTGCAGATGATTTAGGTGTGTCACTGTTAATGCGGCAGTGCCCTCTATTGTGTGAACATGTTTGGTGCCAGCATCCTTACATGACATTGCACATTTTGATTCTGTGGAGTTCAAATGGTTAAGTAATGATGTGTATGAACACATGCACAAGTGCTGTATGTATACATGCTTGTGTGTGTGTGTGTGTGTGTCCTAGCAAGTTACCAGCTGCTGATGCTCATTAATGTCTGGTAGAAACAGCTGTGAACCTCCATGGTAACCAGATGCAGACAGCTCCAGGAATGCATGGAGTCGATGTCACAGTGCCTCTCCGTCTCTCTCACACACAAACACACACTCACACCGTGTGCCAAAC